AGGCCTGGGCTGGATTCAAACCTGCCAGCTCTGGTGTATGTGGCTGGTGCCCTAGCTGCTTGAGCTACAGGCACCGAGCCTCAGCACAATTTTCAAATTGTTAAAATCTATTTCACTTTTGTGTTAAAAACAATTAACTTGAAACTATAATGTAAAATATATAATATGATGAAGAAAAAATATACCAAGGCCTAACCCTAGTAAGAAAAGCATAGAATTTCTACCTTGAAATCTTAGTAAACAATCTATCAAGGGGGGACTACTAGCCTTTCCTCAATGGAGACACCTGGCTGACCAGGTCTGTTCTTTGGTGTGTGTTTCCAGAAGGTTCCACAGGAGGAAGAGGCACAGTGTGCTGGGGCTGGTGAGGTGGATGTGGCCAGGGTGGGTGTGGTCCCCAGAGGCCTAGACCACAGCTGCCCTGCTGGGGGCCAGCAGGATGGGATGTGGTCCTAGGAGGAGGTGGGAGGTGGGACAGAGATGCTGATGCAGGAGCGCACTCTACCGGCCTTCACACACCGGGGGAGACCGGGGACAGGAGTGTGTGGCTCGGCGCAGTCTTACCGATGGCCCACAGGATGGTGTCAAAGGTGTCTGTGTCCTCTCTGCCAGAGACGCAGTCTTCCCAGGTGACCTGGAGCCGGCCGGCCGGGAGCCTCCTGACCCGGGTGGCGGTGCGGCCTCTCAGGAACCGGGTGCCGTGGGACATCATGTGCTCTGTGACCAGAGCAGACATTTGCTGAAAGAGACAGGAGGCCAGGTTGTGAGCAAAGTGGCAGTGAGACCACCACCAACAGGATAGAGGCCCTGGCCCTGCTCTGCTCTCAACAGCCCGGGTGAGGACCCAGGAGGAGTCTGTTGGGAAGATAAAGTAAGGTACCCAAGGCCCCCACCCTGGGTCCTCTTGCTCTCTGTGGAGAATGTTTGGCCTCCTCTGGGCTCTAAACCCTCAGACCTGGGCCTTGTAGTTAGCACTTGTTTGGCCTATGGGCGCCTCTCAAGGTGCTAATTACCTAAGTCTCCACTAAAGCCAGTGGTAAAGAAACTCTTCCTTCTCTTAGGCTCTGCCACATGGCCCTCTGCTCCCACCCAGGTCCTGCCACCTCTGTCCCTGAGACTATGCTCCACCTGGAAACATGGCAGGTGGGCACAGCTGTGGGGAGGGAGGCTGCTCTGTCCTTCCCTCCCACTGTCCTTTCATCTCAGAACCCTGCTCTCCAGGACAATGGGGGCTTGCACAGGCCAGCAGAGTCAAGAGGAAACAAACCATCACCATTTAAATTCCCTGACATATGTGTAGGTAAGCCAGTAGGCTCTGGACCATGTGCATAGTAGCCCAGCCCACAAGGATGGCAGCCAGACATTCTGGCAGAGGCACTGCCATGCAGGCCACAGGTCCCACCTGCATCCCACTGGAAGCCTGACAGGCTCAGAAGTCCTGGTCCCTGAGGGGCAACCACTTGCCCACTGACACAGTGCAGCCATCGCCCCCCAAGCTGTGAGTACCCTGCACTCCCTTTGGTGGCCTCCTCCCTGGCACAGCCCTCACCCCTGCAGGCCCCTCTTTGCCCAGACCCACACACAACAGGTCCTTCCTGGGGGTTAGGGAGTGTTTGACCCCACACACAATGACAACCACAGAGTTCAATTTTAACAGCAGACTTTTCCTTGAAAAGTTTTCAGTTAACAAAAAGAAAACCTTAGGCCAGGCACAGTGGCTCACACCCGTAATGTCAACACTTGGGAGGCTGAGTAGGAAGATCACTTGAAGCCTGGAGTTCAAGACCAGCCGGAGCAACATAGTGATTCCCTGACTCTACAAAAAAATACAAAAATTAGCCAGATATGGTGGCCTATGCGTGTAGTTCCAGTCCTCAAGAGGCTAAGGCAGGAAGATCGCTTGAGCCCTGGAGTTCAAGGTTGCAGTGAGCTGTGAGCATACAACCACAGTCTAGCCTGGGGACAGAGAGAGACCTTCTCTCTAAAAAGAAAAAGAAAATTTCCAAGGCTCCAATTACAGGAGCTCGTTCTGCCGACTGTGGACTTGGACGAGGGCTGCCGTGCACCTGTGACCTCCATGTGCACTGCGTGGACACAGGCCACATCTCTGACCGCTGGTCCCACAGTGGTGTCTGGGATGGAGCCTGTGTGCACCTGTGCCACTCACCCTGGCTTCCACATGACCTCTTGTTTCACTCCCCCCAGGACCTGGGAGTGCTTGGCAAGGAGGCAGCAGGGAGTTGGGGGTCTCTGAGGTGGAGCTGAATAGGTGTTGGGCAGACAGGAACATGGCTCTCGGGGGAGCTGAGCTGAGGGCCGAGAGTGGGGCCTTTCACGCTACCTGGTCGAAGCCACGGAGGGGGATACTGCGCATCATGACAGTGGTGTCCAGCCCGATCCCAGTGAGGAAGCCAGCACACTCTAGGGCCACATCTGCGTGCACGCTAAGGAGCCCTAACAGTCAGTGCTTCACAAGCACTGGGGCAAACCAGGGCCATGTGCTGGCAGCCCACACCCACCCATCTACAGCCAGCCCAGAGGGGCTCCCAGCCCCAGCCCCCACCATGGGCTTCCCTCTCAGCCCAAGCAGGGAGCCCCTCGGCAACACCCGCTGGCCAGGCCTGTGCCTCTGTGGGACATCTCCAATCTGGAGTTAATCTTGGCTTCTGGGGCCAGACCCGTGACCTGGTGGGGTCTCAGTCGCAATGGAGAGCCACCCCGTCAGATCCAGAGGGAAGACTTTCAGCCACTTAAGTCTCAAGGTGGCTGTGCTCTCAGTGGGCAACCCGTGGCTTTCATCTTCCCTCACATGTCCCTTCTCCTGACCCACCCGGATATGACTGCTCCCTCTGGAGGAGTGAGGCCGGAGCAGGGCTGCTCTCAAGGGAGGCTGCATGGCTGCCTCATGGCTGTGTCCAGCTGCACTGTCAGCGCGGCTGTCTACAAGTGCAGCTGAGGAATAGCCTCCAGGAAGCCCTGGCCCCAGAGGTCAGGCTCAAATTTTCCTTGGGGCCCAGCCCCTCTACCTCCAGTGGGCCTGTATCAGAGGCAGCACCTGCTGGGAGGGAAGGCAGTGAGGGTGAAAAACCAGAGGAAAGGGAGTCCATGTCCCAGGACAGCCACACAAATCCTGGCAAAGGATACAGCTGGCCCCGACCACCAACCTGTCAGAAACAGATGCAGAAAGAGAGAGGTAAGTGTCCACGTAGCCCAAGTGTGGGTGAAGGACCCTTCAGCCTGTGAAGTGGCTATTCAAACAGGCAGCCCCAGGTACGAAGCCCGCTTCCCAGAGGCTCAGCCTAATGGTGAAGGGCAAATGTGGTAGGTGACAAACAGCACCTGTCCCCTGGAAGGCACTGGGACATGCTAAGAATTCTACACCAGTGGAGAAGCACAGGGCTGCCTTCTGCCACTTAGGGCTTTGCAGGACAGCAAGGGCACAGGCCACAGGGTCCTTGGACATTGTCATCTGAGAGCAGAATGCTCTTGGACCATGCACGGCCAGGCTGGAGCCCCACACTTGCCTGTCCAGCTCTGCCACACCTCCTTTATTCAGCTCCACAATCCACATGTGTGCACACACAAGCACATGTGTACTCACACACCTGCATTCACATGCACACACATGTGCATACCCTCACACATACTCACAGGCACACACATGCGAATGGGCACAGATCCTAACACTGAACAGGACTCCCAGGGGCCAGGCCCATGTGGGTGGGCTCCTCAGATCACCCTTCAATCTTTGAAGGAGAGGAGGTAAATTAGAGATGGATAAGCCCCGCATCAGTGTTAATCCTGGCAGGTACTAATGATATAATTCCATTTCAAAAAGCGGTGTATCCCTTGGAGCATCTGCAATGCCTTGCAGGGAGCATCTGGCACGTGGCTTACTCACAAGCTAGGGATGGGTCATGCTGTAGTCACATCCAAGACAGGCCCAGATCTGATGGCCAGCTGGGTGCAAGATGGTCCAGGTGACTACACGCCCCACTGAGCAAGCGAGGAAGGTAAGGGAGCCCACAGCCTCCCAGGAGAGCAGCAGGGCATTCTACGCCCCATGTGGGGCCAGCCATACCTAAGAGACAGGGGCTGTGCACACCCAGACATGTCCGGTGACAGGCACGAATACACTTGATGCATTCAATGAGTGGTAAAAGCCTTTTTTTTTAAGATATGAAATTATGAGTTCCTGGAAGTACAAACAGAACTCAGCTGCCTTGAATATCCTGCCCTCAATGCCAGGGTGGAGCTGGGTCAGGACCCAGCACATGGTGCCCTCTGCTTTCTGCACACCTGGCAGTGACCCTATGTAGGCACCAAGGGACTGACACCAAGGTAGCCTCTGTGGGATACTGGGTCTCTGCTCATCGTGGAGACATTCTGTCCCAGAAAGCTGACCCTCCTATGGGAGGGAGCTAGTAGTAGCTGTAGCCCATGGGATGGGGCTGGGCTGTTCTCCAGGGCCCTACCCTGGTGCCAAGGAAGAAGTAATGTCATCTCTTGGCACTGGCACAAGTATTTCCTATTTCTGCAGCCCATGTGTGCCCCACTGACCCCTAGCACAATGTGGTGGTACCAACAGGGCCTGCATGGAGGTGGGTGGGGGCCATGACCTGCCAGCCCCTCCTGTGCTTTGGAAGTCCTGCTCTGGCAGCCAGCAGCCCTGAGGAAAAGCTCCCACTTCTGGGCTATGTCAAACCCTATCCCTGAAGGTGTATGTGGGAGGAAGTGGGCACATTCCTGCAATCTCTTAACAGAAGCTCAGACCCCATTGTGTGGAGGTGACTTTGGGGCTCTTCTCTCCCCTCCCCCACCAGTCACACAATTTGAACATCCGCCCTTGAAGGGTGCAGGAAGCGAGAACTCAGACTCAGGCCTCCCTTCACACTGCACACAGCAAGAAAACTCCTGAGCAAGACCGGAGGCACGGAGGCAAATACCAAGGCCTCTAGATCACTGGGAAGGCAGAGTCCCTTGAACACAGGTATCTGCAGGTAGCACCCATAGACCATGTAGGCCTGGGGAGGGGGGTGCAGGGGGGCAGACAGGAATAGTGGGGCTGAGCCCAGCTGCAGCAGTGACCAACACAGGTAGTGCCTGGCCCCAGGAGGATGGCAGTGCTGGCCACAGAAGTCAAGGGGCCAGCCCCAGAGGGAGGAGGCCACCAGGCTGGAACCACTCACCAGGACCCTGACCACATTGGAAGACCACCCTGCGCCCCGAGAGCCTTGAATTCAACCTGATGTGTTCCGGGCAGCTCTACTCTCTGTGCCTTTTCCAAAGAGGCAGAACTACTGCGAGATTAGCCTAATCACAGGGCAGGTTTCTTGTTCGAAATTGGAATGGGGGTTGGAATAAAAAACAAAAGCATTAATTCAGGTCCTCGAAGCCCTGGCTTAAAGAGCAATCCTTCGGGCTCTGGAGCTTAAAGGCCCGTGATCCACTCTCTAAGGGGAACACCCACACAGGTGAGAGGCTCTTGGAAGGCACCTGCCAGCCCAGGAAATGCCAAGCAGGCTGCCAAGCTGTGGGCTCCCTAGGAGGCAGCAGCGGGAGGATGTCCCAAGGCCACAATCTGTGGGGCCAGCTCCTGGCTTCCCTGGGATATGCCAACCCCATCTAACCCTCTGGGACTGATGCCAGGCCCGCCTCCACTCAGCTGGAGCCCTCTGTGTGCTGCCACTGTGCCCATAATGCCTCAGCCACCAGGATACACTGGGCAGAGGGGCAGAGTGGCTGAGGGGCTGAGGGGCTGAGGGGCTATGACCTCTGGTGACCAAGTCCCAGACACACTCTGGTTTCCCTCCCACAGGACACAAGGGCATGACGTCATACCAAGGGAATGTGGATGTTAAATAGAAAATGAAAATTTAAGCAGCAGTGATTTCTCCTAAATAAATGCTGTGGTGTCCTTCCTGAGATAAAATTTACCTTCTTTTCTCTTGTGGTTAGGTTAAAAAGAAAGAAAATGGCTGCAGTGCCTGGCGGCTTCTGGATGTAATAAGGATCAAACAAAACCTCCCTCCATGACAAGCTCCTGACAGGCAGCACTAAATCAGCCCAAGTTATAAAAACACTCTGGCTCAGAGAGCTTCTGGAGTCCAGGGACGACAGCATGGGGCTGCTGGGGCACCTTGGTGAGGGGACAGCCCCACTGGCTCAGATCACCTCCTCCCTAGGCCTGGCAAGAGAGGTCAGCCCACATGCTGTGGGCCACTGGGGGCCTGGCATGGCCACCCAAGAGTGCAGCAGGAACAGGAAGGCCCTGGTTGTCCCTTGGAAATAACACCTCACACACTGGGCCCAAGAGTAAATCTGACAGGAGAAGAGCAGGCTCATTCCCACCCTCCGTCCCAGCCCAGGGGACCAGCTCAGAGCCTGGCTTTGTAGAAACTGACCCCCTGACAAGCAAACCCCAGGCAATAGTGCCAACTGGCTTGCCAGGGAGTTGATGTGGGCCTGGAATGGAGTGACCAAGATTGCCCGTCTCAAGAGTTAGGGCAACTGAGCCCTGAAACGTGGTGTGAAGTGCGGGAGGCAGACGCTGGCCTAAGTGGGCTGGGCGGGGGCCTGCCAGGGTAGAGAGGCTGCCGATGGGGGTGGCCCTGGGGCAGGGCAGGGCTCAGCTCCGATGGACCCTGGGGTGGCCCACTCTGGGCATCAGGCTTCTCCTGGCTGCACACACATCTCCACCCCCATTCCTACCCCTTGGGGGGGCTTCCTGGAGCAAGCCCACCTTCCTTGACCCCACATTTGCCCCACTAGAAGTGTGTGCTGTGGAATGGAACAGCTTGGTCATGGAGGCCATATGTCCCCCTCATCACAGGGGCTGTGTGTCCTTACACCGCCTTCCTTAGCTGGCAGTGGGCAGCTGTCCACAGTGACCATTACTTCCCTGCCTGGCCAGAGGACCTTATTCCTTACCTGGAATCCTCCTCATGTCTTCCGCCCATCCCAGATTTCAATGGAGAAGTGAAGACACAAGATCAAAGGGAAAGGTAGACATGATTCTGGTGTCCAGGAGGCTGAGGCCAAGCAGGTGCCATCCCAGAATCCCATCCAGAGCCCCCATGGGCCGAGCCCCTCCCCTACCAAGGCCAGGAAGGCACCCCTTCCTCCTCTGGGTTTGGGGCAGCCAGGACAGCTCCACCCCACTGGGCCCAAGGGTCCCACTCACCCTTCACCAGCTCACACTGGAACCGAGGGTACCGTTCACCCTTCACCAGCTCACACTGGGCCCGAGGGTCCCACTCACCCCTCACAGGCTCACGCTGGGCCCGAGGGTCCCGCTCACCCTTCACAGGCTCACACTGGGCCCGCGGGTCCCGCTCACCCCTTCATAGGCTCACACTGGGCCCAAGGGTCCTGCTCACCCCTCACAGGGTCACACTGGGCCTGAGGGTCCCGCTCACCCCTCCACAGGCTCACACTGGGCCCGAGGGTCCCGCTCACCCCTCACAGGCTCACACTGGGCCTGAGGGTCCTGCTCACCCCTTCACAGACTCATGCTGGGCCCAAGGGTCCTGCTCACCCCTCACAGGCTCACACTGGGCCTGAGGGTCCTGCTCACCCCTTCACAGGCTCATGCTGGGCCCAAGGGTCCCGCTCACCCCTTCACAGGCTCACACTGGGCCCAAGGGTCCCACTCACCCCTCACAGGCTCA